TGGGGGACTCTGCACCCAGGGGGTCTGGACCCCATCGCTGCTCTGCGCCTGGTCCTTTGCTGTCCTGGGTTTTGTCCCTCTCTGCTGTTTCTTGGCCATCACCAGTGTCCCCTGGCAGGCAGGGAGGAGCAGGGAAAGTTCAGGCAGGAGGAATTCCCTGTCCCCCAGGAGAGTCACAGCCCTGTGATGCCTCCCCGTGAGCACAGTGTGGAGCAGAGCGAGACCAGGTTGGTGCTGCTGACCCATGGGCCTGTCCGTGCCTCAGTTTCCCCATGGACCTTAGCTGGGCAGCGGTACTGGGGGATCCCAAAGGGGATCAGACACAGGCTCCCAGCCTGGCCTTGCTGCCTGCTCCGTGTCCCAGCCCTGTGTGTCCCCATGACCACATCTCCTGATGGTACCTCCTGGGTCTGGTCCTCATCCCGGAGGAAGATCTGCTGCTTTTTGGCGATGGTGGTTGTCCTGTAGAAATCCACCAGCTCGTTGAGGGAGTTGAACTTTTCCTCCCAGAGGTAATATTTGCCGTTCCTCTCCCTGAGCACCTTGAAGTGCTGGACGTGCTGCCCGTAGCTGTGGATGGAGGGTGGATGTTACCCTGGTCTTGGGGTGCTGGCAGCACCCAGACCCCCTTCCAGCATCGTGGGCAAAGCCCAGGGGCTGCTGGTTGGGCTGGTTCTCCAGGGGGCCTGTGCCCACGGTCACACTACACCCATCCCACCACAGCCAGGGGTGACGGTGACACTGGGATCACTCCTGGCCTCACTGGTGAGGCAGTGGGTGAGGGTCCCCAGCATGTGAGCTACACAGACCCGCAGCTGAGACCTGTCACAGCTCATCTCACACATCACCCAGCCCTGGCACAGCGGGACGCCCGTGGGCTCGGGGCTCACAGGGCACCAGCCACACGCAGGGCCAGGTGGCTTTGTCCAGGGGACAACTAGGGGCTACGTCTGAGGAAAGTGTGGTGATGGGGGGTCTCAGCTGGTGGCTGAGATGGTGGCTGCAGGTCTCAGCTCAGCACATACTGGGAGGAGACTGGGAAAGCTGGGCTCAGGCTCCCAAATCCCCCACACACCTGGGGACCCCCAAGCCTCAGGAGGATTGTGCAGGTCAGGGTTTCCCTCTCCAGCCCCATGTGCTGTCACCCCCTCGGTGTGTGCCTGGGGGTGGCAGTTCGGGGTGCCCATGGGCTGGCATGGGGCCACTGCAGGGACCCGTCATTGCCAGGCCCCCAGGCAGGGGCAGGGACTGGTGACGCACGGGGCAAAACACGGTTCCCTTTCATTATGGGCAAGAACCTCCTTAAACATTTAATTAGAGATTAGCAGCGTGAGAAAGTGCCTGGCTGGCCTGGGGGTGGCTCCTGCTACCCCAAGCCCGGGGCAGGGAAGGGGCAGTGATGGGGTGAGAGGCTGGGAGGGCAGCTCTGCCCCTTGGCACTCTGCCTTCCTCCAGCCCTGGCTGCCCATGCCGAAATGATCATCCCTGCAGCACTGGGGTGCTGTGTCCCTTCATCCCTGGGGATGCTCTGGGTAACTTGTTCCTCCAGGTTGTGTCCCCTGGGCTGAGCTGGCCCAGTCATTACCCACATGGTTGTTATTTAGGGGCACCCCAGTGAGGCAGCAGTGCAGGCAGCAGAGGGGAGGAAGGAGAGGAAGACCCTGGGTGAGGCTGTGCCTGGATGCGGTGGGGCCACGGCTCTGCAGCCCCTTTGAGGTGGCCAGGGCAGGGCAGGGTGCTCGCTGCTTCCCCAACACCACGGTGTGGACCACGCACAAGTGTGGCCTGATGCCCTCAGTCCCCAAAGTGGGGGTTGCAGGTGACCCTTGCCCATCCCACCATGTGTCTGTCCTCATCCCACAGCCACTCACTTGACGGAGATGGAGAATTCCCCCGGAGCACTCTCGCTGTCGCGGATCAGGAAGGCTCCCAGGTGCTTGCGCTTGAGGAGCTGCTCCTCTGCCAGCTGCCGGGAGATCCTGCCCACGTACCACCTATGAGGGGCACTGGGCTCAGCCGCGCCAGCACCCCTCGACACCCGGGGACACCCCAGTGTCACATCCCCACCCTGCAGGATGGAGACACCAATAACCCCAGTGCCACTGGGAGTGGGGTCCTCATTGGACTCCCCATTGGGCTGGGACCCTGTGGGGCTCCCCATGGGGCTGGGACCCCCCACTGTGTTTTTTCCCTTCCCTTTCCCCTCCCTGATTTATCACGGGGCTTTCGTGGAGCGGGGGGATCGCAGGGAGCCGTGGGTGCAGACGTGTCCCCATGTGCTGCCTCGTCCACGCAGAGTTTTGCAGCATTGCTGACAGCTGTGACCGCATCCTGTCACCCGGCTCACCACATCATCTGTCTCGTCCCCAACTTTGCTGCCTGTCCCCCCACTTTCTCCCATGTCCCATGGTCCCCTGTGGGAACAACCTTTCCAGGTGCTACAGGATGGGTTTGCAAAGCAGAAAACCCTCCGTGCCAGGATGAAACCCTCCTGCCTGGGTTGCCCCAAAATGAGATGCAGGAGCAGAGACATAGAATCATCAAATCTCAGACTGGTTTGGGTTGGAAGGGACCTTAAAGATCATCCAGTCCCAACCCCCCTGCCAGCAGCAGGGACACCTTCCACTAGACCAGGTTGCTCAAAGCCTCATCCAACCTGGCCTTCAACACTTCCAGGGAGGAGCAGCCACAGCTTCTCTGGCCAACCTGTCCCCAGCTCCTGTCCCTGCCAAGGCTGTGGCTCTGTATTTGGGAGCCCCAGGTCACGCAGACTCTCTGCAACCTGTTAAGATTGCCCCGTGAACGATCAGCCTTCAGCATGGATCATCTCCCAGGGGCTGCACGGAACAAGCTGTGTCTCACCCATCCCAGCCTGTTAACCAAAGCCAGAGAAGCAACGGGATGTGCCCCGGGCTGCCCCGAGCCCACGCGTTCCTGCTCCCCAGCCACAGCCCCGAGCAGGTGCTGTGGCATTTAAATGTGATTTACCAGGGGATAATGATACATAAAACACAGGTTAAAACAGGGGTGGATTACGTTGGGCTTTAATAACCTACTAATAGGATTGTATCTAATGCAGGCGTAATCCCATCACGCTTTGTTGTTCCCCAATTATCATTTATTTAGCGGGCAGCCCAGTGTGAAGGGTGAATTTCTGTATGTAGGGGGTACATGGGCACGCTGTCATCTCCCAGCCCCTCTGCCTGGGTGGTAACAGCAGACCCCATCGCTGCCCCATCACCCTGTGACTCAGTTTCCCCATGTGTGGGGCTATCCTGGTTCGTGGCAGGTTGTTGGGTGTTGGGATCACTGCCTGGGTGAGGGGGAGAGGATGTCCTGGTGCTGGTGGGTGCTACTGGAGTGGGGCTTCCCCCTTCCCTGCACGGTGGGATGGTACTCACGGGTGTGGCTTGACCTTGATGTAGTTTTTAGGGACAAAGCCCTCACATCCATACAGCTCAGCCTTGTACCAGTTCTGGTCATCTTCCATGTTGAGGATCTAAGGTGGGAGGAGGAGGAGGAGGAGGGAGGTGTCAGCCTGGCCACCATCCCACTGGGGGAGGGACTGAGGGGGACCACCACCACGCCAGACCTCACATCCCCCACCAAAAACTGGGGAAAGGGGGACTCTGACAAAGGTGACATGTTTTTGGGGTGTTTTGGGGCACCTGTACAGAGCTGGTTGCTCCCCCCAGCCCCAGCTCATGGTCTCTCTGGCTCACCATGGGTGCCAGCAGCTGGGGGATGCCCAGCATTGCCCCAAACGCCAGGGACAGAGGGATAGAATCTGTCCCTGGAGG